ATGCATGGATGCATGGATGCATGGATGCATGGATGGATGCATGGATGCATGGATGCATGGATGCATAAATTAATAACAGTGTTAAAAGGAGAGGCTGTAGATTCAAAGTATGCAGTCTATCTAGATTCAAAGTATGCAGTCTATCTATTGTTTTTAGTTGGCAGTCTAAAGGCTAAAAATCTAAGATTCATTCCAGTTAACTCCACCTTACTCACGGCGTATGGTGCTAAATTATACAGCTGAAACTATACACCTGTTTTTCTGTCAATTATTTTGCTTAACAGTTTACAAAACAGCGCTTTAAAGTCAAACTCTATTAGCTTAGTCAACTTTTGGGATGTCGTCTTACGTCTCATTGCTTAATTTTGTGTATATCTACTGTGTTTCCTTTATCATTACTTCTGGGGCCTTGYCTTGTCTGTTGTCCGTTTAATATGGGGTCCGCTGAATAGGGGTTCGTTTTATAGTTAACATGAGAAGAAAACTTCGAACATTATTGGAGCTGTTATTGTTTATTGAAGGTATCTGCTTAAAGGTTTCCGCTATATAGATGTTTTATTTAAAGTAAATATGGGGGAATGTCGGTYATTTTCCGAGCAGTGTCCCATTAAGAAAGGTTTTTTTTAAAGTAAATATTGCACGAAAATTTCGGAATCGTGAAACTAGCTGTCCGCTCAATGAAGGTTGTCCGCTTAATAATTTATGTAAGAGTTTACGCCAACACCAGAAAATATTACTGATCGGATAACTAATAATTAACATCAAGTATGTACATCCAAGCTAGTTTCACAGCAAGGGTGTAAAATCCAAAAAGGATGTTAGTACAAGGGACTATTAAATGGCGAGTTTTAAAATAATTTAGGCAATTAAAAACACTTCAGTAATAATATTACAAATCATAATCCAAACCTACACGTTAAGTTCATTAGGTAATAAGTTGCTGATGGAGGTTTCAATCCATCCATCCATCCATCCATCCATCCATCCATCCATCCATCCATCCATCCGAATCTCGAATCTCTCCACTCAATACATTCATCATTCGTTCGTTCTTTATTCACTCATTTTTTATTTCTTCTTTTCATCCATTTCCCCATCCATATTATTTTCTTTACCCACGTAAAATAATCATTTAGTTTTCACTCATCAACTCACAGAATTTAAAAGCCTAGTTGAAGCTAAATTTACAGGGATATATTCTTAAAACAAGTTCATCATAGCGTATTCAGGCACTAGTAATTCTATTTTTCTTGCCACTTTCTCTTCTTTGGCTGGTTCTCTTTTTCTTTTTCTTTTTCTTTTACGAAGAATCTAAATGCCTTTTATGCTTTACAAATTTGACTTGGAACACGAGTGTTATTCTTCCCTTTAATTCTCACCTAAACGAAAACAACTATAAGAAAATGCCTCGTACTATACAAGGCCGGCAATTAGMGACTACAACCTTCATGCGATCAGCGTGGCTTCCGTCAATTAACTAACAACCAAAAGAAATACTTACAAATTTATTGACACAGTGGCGTTCATCTTCAAATACTGAGAAAGGTTCATGGATGGAGGTCTCAAGAATTCTTGATAGATGTCACCTTCACAAGGAAAAACGCCTAAGATTTAAGTAAATATACTTCAATTTGCTAAGACATACATTTACTCACATACATTTAGGTTATGAGATTTGAATCTGATGTTTTCTGAAAGAAATGAGGCAGTTTTTTTTGCCATTTTACAGTGTATTTGATTAGTTATTAAAAAACATTAGGATATTTTTTCATCTTGTATTTCTAACTAAAAGATGGAGCTAATAGGTTTATATTTCATGCAATAAGTGGTATCCACTGTTACAATTTTCTAAATTGTATATGCAAAAGTGTTTTGACACAAAAAAGAAGAAGAAAGAAAGAAAAGAAGAAAAAAAGGGAAAGAAAGAAAGAAAAAGAAAAAAGAAAAGAAAAATATATAGCTGAGTGCAAAATATTTCTACACAAAAAAAGAAGAAAGAAAAAAAGAAGAAGAAAGAGAAAAGAAAAAGAAGAAAAGAAAAGAAAAGAAAAGAAGAAAAGTGAGAAACATATATAGCTGAGTCGTCTGAGTGAAGACTTACCAGTTCTCTATTTACAAATTTAGAAAAAGGTAAGGAATTCTGGGAATTATTTCATATCAGTTAAGGAGGAATGACCTGAAAACGAGTAGAATAGTTTTCTTTTGTTAAATAATGCACTTCGTGCCTAGATTTAGAAGCGACTGTCACAGGGATGGAGTAGACCTCTGAATTCGACATACATTTGATGTTGAAAAAAGAAGGAATAAACAATGAATGGATGGAAGAGTGGATGGATGAAGGAGAGAGTGAAATAAGAAATTCATCCATTCAGAAGTAAATGAGTAAGAGGATAAATAAATGAACGAACCAGTAATGGATG